TTGAAGACATCAGTCATACCAGATGATTTCCAGCAAGTGACTTACAGCTGCATGGGATTTTGCATCTTCTTAGTGCAAGACGTAGAATCTTTTCATTTAAAAAAGGTTTTCTGTTGTGATACCAGTATGACAGTTCCATGTATTGGAAAGGACATTGATTTTATAGTCAGATTCATCTGGGTTCAATTCCAGGTTGGGTCCATACTGACTAAGTGACCTCGGATGAGTTACTTAAATTTTATGAGTCTTGTGTTCCTTTTCTGGGAAATAGATTGCTAATACTTCATTGCTGTATAATTGTAAGCAATATAAACAGATACTTAAAATTTTGAAGAATTCAACAAACAATAGCTTCATTTTACTAAAAAATTTATACATTTAAAATGGTTAACCTTAGATTGCTGGAGTTTAGTGAGTAATGATTGAACAGGTGTATTGGTAAAGTCCTTGCTTTTTTTAGTGTGCTTATTTTTAAATATAGTTATGCAAATCACCAGGAAACATAATGTAATTCTAAAAAAGGTGAAACTAAATTAATTGAATCATTAAGTATAAAAGCAATTTAAAATGGAAGCAACTATAAATCGAATGTATCAATTGACACATTTAGTAGGTCACAGCAATCACAAAATGGTTGAATTCTGGTATTAGAAAGAAATAAGGAAGAAAATTAACATTCCTACAATAAAAATGGAAATATAATTCTAAAGACACTAAACGAATCCTCCTAAAATATTAAAATGATGTTAAGGCAACACTAACAACTTTTAAATAAGCACAGGAAAAGCAATTTTAATATTCTTGAGATGAAAGATAAAAAGTAGAGGGTAGCAGTCTAATAAATTATTAAAAGCATGAGTCTGGGTTTTTCTGTTTTTTGAACAGCATATCCTGGATTAAATTATATATAATCAATTGAATTGGTTTCTTTTTGGTTGTCATTTTTTCTGAGACGCTGTCTTACACTGTCGCTCAGGCTGGCGTGCAGTGGTGCCTCAGCCTCCTGAATAGCTGGGGCTACAGGCGTGCTCCACCACACCTGGATAATTTTTTGTTTTATGTTTAGTGAGACAAGATCTCATTATATCTCCCAGGTGAGTCTTGAACTCTTGGTCTCAGGTGATCCTCTTACCTTGGCTTCCTACAGTGCTGTGATTACAAGTGTTAGCCATGGTGCCAGGCCTATGTCTCGGTTTCTTTATACGTAAAATGCAAATAATAATTTATACTGCTCAGATACATTATAAAAAATAAAATATATCTAATGATATTAGCATAGTATCTGACATATTATAGTCATGCAAATCTTTTAATGGTGGTATTGTTATTTCTAGTTTCTGAGACTAAGCTAATGTAGCCCATACTACATTAGCATAACAGTGGTTAATACTGTTCTTGCTGCCGTATGCTTCTCAAACAGCTGAAAATACTAGAATTGAAGGATGTGATAATTTCAGAAAATTGGACTTCTCAACAAGTTTCATGCAAGGCGAAACCCTCATCTGAAACAGGTAGGCAGAATGACTTTAGGCTAATTTGATTGTCTAGCATTTATTCCCAAGACTAAATGAAGGCAGACAAATCATCACAAAGGTAACATGCTTAATAGCCATAGACCACGCCCCAGTCATATACAGTAACCAGTAAGCACTCATTCCCTTCATTACATGGTAAATAGAAGACAATGGGCATTTTGGGTGGTAATGAGAAACAATCTTGAAAAAATATAGGAGCCCAGCTGGGCACTGTGGCTCACATCCGTAATCCCGGCACTTTGGGAGGCCAAGGCAGGAAGATCGCTTGAGGTCAGGAGTTTGAGATCAGCCTGGCCAACATGGCAAAACCCTGTTTCTACTAAAAAATACAAAAAATAGCTGGGTGTGGTGGCTCAGGCCTTTTTAATCCCAGCTCTTTCAGAGACTGAGGCATGAGAATCACTTGAGCCTGCAAGGTGGAGGCTGCAGTGAGGTGAGATAGCACCACTGTACTCAGCCTTGGTGACAGAGTGAGACCCTGTTCAAAAATATATATATATGTGTGTGTGTATATATATTTATCTATATTTATATTTATATATATAGGAGCCAGTTGATAGAAGGCCTTGGTCTTGATAAATGTATGTAGAAAGATTTCATTTCCTAACCAGATGTATGTTGCATCTGGAAGTAGTTATGTCTCTCCAAGAGAGGTTCATGTTCAACACGCCATCATGTAACATTAGGAAACAGATTTTTTTCAGTATGAATTCAGTGATACAAATTGATTACAGTATTTTTTCAGTCAATACAGAACAGCTCATCATTTTAGATATCCTTTGATGATCTAATATATTGACCTTTCTTTGGTTTCACATTTATTTGAATCACCACGGGCAAAAAATTTAAAACCCGAATAGCAATATTGACCAACCTTTAATGTTTATCCATCTGAGAAATTTCGAACAGTACTGTCATTTCAGGCCACGTGGTACTATATCAGAATTTTTAATTCTTAGAAAAATGGATCTGCAAATGGAAAACGAGGGCTATAACAACAAATTTAGGGCTTTGGGTTCAATCAGTGATATTTAAACAACAAGAATATTCAAGAATTAAATCTTTCTGACATCACATCTGCAACAACAGAAATAAAAAGTTTTTCACCTTAAATCTATAGAACTCATTACTGTGAGAATAAACAGTTATATTTGTAAAGTTGTCAGATGCTTACCAATTTTTCAAAATTTAGAACACTTCAATATTTGTCTAATCATAATTGTAATTTCCAGGAAGATGCTTAATGAGTGACTATTTTTAAAGGATGATGACCTCAACAGCCAAGGAATAGTTCATGGGATAGAAGGGTTGGGAAACAGCACATCTGTTGGTTATATATTCTGGAGACGTTACACTTGTCCTTAGTCTTCATCTGTCAGGCTCAAATTTATTGCAAGTAGGATTCTAGCAGAAGGCAGGTGCTGCTTTTGTATTCTTATGTAATATTTTATGTCTTTAGGGAATAAAATAATATAATATGGCATCTCATTGACATGCATGTGGTATATGTTCCTGAGAGCCTTTTGTACCTGTTGCCTGTTGCATATGATGCCTTAGAGACTTTCAGGGAACACGCTTGAGTGCTTGCTTTTATTTTTATTTTTTATAAAAGCTTTGGTAGCCCATTTGGTTTTCACCAGATTTTAGGCTAGTCTAAATTATTTTCTTACCTACATAACAGATTTTGAAGACTACATTTTAAGCAGATCTTTAGTTTAAATGAATCACTGCTCTGTTCACATTACATGGCACTGCCATTATTTCATAAACTCTTTGAGGGCAGAGGTCTAGGCCTAGCCTTTAGTACTGTTTATGGCAAATAGTTATTTACCTAATGTTTAAATAGCTTTATTGACCAAATCAATGGAGTTTATAAATTCAATGCTAATTGTTATTACATAGTTTGTATTGAGAACACATTAAAATATACAGTATCTATATAACCTAGATAAATGTCTGGAAGTATAATTGTCATACATTTTCCTGTACTTTAGTTGTTTTCTACTGAAAGTTATAGAGGAATTTTTAAAAATCCCTGTAAATTCATTAGCAATTCCTTTTCATGTTTGTGATTTGAATTGTGGCTTTGGCAAAGGCTACAAAGAGTTCTGTTACAGTATTTCTTCTGTATTTTATAAGAAAATAGAAAATAGCTTGTTATTCCTTTTATTGCAAGTGTGCTACAATCAACCTATGATTTACTATTGTCCTTAACTGGTAGTTCTTTAATTGCTAAAATTCTTAATTTTCTAATGAGTAGAACTCTTTCTAGAATGTTATCCTTTACCCATCCACAATTACAAATGATCATACATTTTATAGAATTATACTTTGTTTACATTCTGACCTAGGAAAACTGAAATCTGTTTTTTACTGCCATTATCAAACACAGAGATATTCTTAAAAGAAATCAGACAAATGCATTCTTTTCAATACTACTTTTAATTATTTTACATTAATTTGCCCTTATTCTTTCTTTAATTAATCTTACTGCATCAATCATACACGCCATGTAGTCTGTATTTATAGTAAAATATAAAAAGAAATCTCAAATTCAGTATAATTAGCTGATCAGTTAAGTTTGTTAACATTTTCTAGGTTTACATTTTTAAAATCTTGGCTAACAACCCGGAATGCTGAACTTTTTACGTGCTGTTTACTTGATAACAAATAAGTATGTGGGAGAGTGCTTAAATCTGATTGTCTTGAGTCTCTGTGAGCTTTAAAATTTCCATAGTTCTCTGATTTATGTCATTTCCCTGCAATATGCTAAATAGAAAATTTTAATATAAGCAAATAAAATATTTAGTTATGGGGAAAGCATTTTAGCCATTGAAGGACTGTAATGCTGTGTGCTAATAAAAAAGCAAGAGACAGACAACAGCCTTTTATTGTCTGAAAATCTACCCATAAATCACTGTAGCAAAAAAATGATGGAAACTCCAAATTATCATAATGAAATACTGAACCATCACTCCCCTTGCTGTACCTAACAAATGCTACCAAAATATTGTCTATTATCACACAAAAGAGTAAAGGAGGAATGGTTTTATATTTTTCTGCGCTTTCCTCTTTTTGCCTTCTCTCATTTTAGTCCCCTCAAGGTATCCACGTGCCAGAGCAGGAATAAGAACTTTGGTACAAATTAAACAATAGACAAAATAAAACCTAGTAAAATGTGATTTTCATATTCAATTCTGGATTATAAGACTGGATAAGAGATTTTCAAGCTAGCATACTGCTATGGGACTGAACGTTTCTGTTTCCCCAAAGGTTCATGTGTTAATACTCTCATCCCCAGTATAATGGTATGGGCCTTTAGGAGGTGATTAGGTCTTGGGTGGTACCCTCATAAATGGGATTAGTGCCCTTATAAAAAGAAACACAAGAGAGCTTGTTTCATCTCTCTCTGCTGTCTGCCATGTAAGAAGATAATCATCTGCAAACTGGGAAACAAGTCCTTACCAGACACCTCCAGATCTTCTGGTACCTTGGTCTTGGAATTCTCCAGAACTGTGAGAAATAAATGTTTGCTGTTAATGAGTGATTATTTTTAAAGGATGATGACCTCAACAGCCAAGGAATAGGTTAAGCAGCAGTAGATTTTTTTATAGCAGCAAAAATCGACTAAGACAGGTACCATCTAAAGAAATCCCCCTCCCATTTTTTATCTCTCTATTGGAGTTTAAAGAGACTGATGTCCATGATTAAGACATCTGACTGAAAGAGAATGTGAATGCGAGAGCAATAGATTGACATTTGTTTTTATTTGTTTCTGTTCCTAATAAACAGAGTGGCTGATCTTCATTTTTGGTTTCTTCAAGAATGATGTTAGCAAGTGCTGGATGGAACAAGGGAAGACATTGCCTACAACAGTTTTTTAAAAGGCAGAAAAGCAAAGTGATCACGTGTGTGTCCCAGTTTCGCTCCATCCAAGATGCCAGAATACTGTTAGAAAAGCATGGGTGATGTGAAGGTTGAGGGCTTGGGCTCCTACTCAGTTTTAAGGACTCAGAGGATGTGATCTCAAAGCCACGCCCTGTATCAGCTTCAGTTGTGAGGTTCCCGACTTAATGGTGCATTGTTGATAACAGCAGGAGACTTGGAGGCTTAGCAGTGCCCTGCCTCTTTTCATTCCTCAGGTCTTAGACAAAGAGTTGTAGATATTTTGGCAAAGAATATTCCAAGTAAGTGTGCAATGTGGTAGGAAATGGCTCTGTGCCTGCAACAGACTGTGTAAGCTGGGAGAGATAAGTCACAGCCAGATTCCAGGGCCCTATAGCACCAGCAACAGCTGGCGTCTAGGAAAGTCACCCGGCTTTCATTGTCAAAGAACATAACCAGGTGAGAATTATAGCAGCTACAGATTCAGTTGTAAGGAGCAACTGAGGTGGACCAGGGATTGCAGGAGGAGATGGGAAGACAGAGGTCCCTGATTCTCTTGTTGCAACGAGGATGAAGAAACTTCCTCTACTTCCTACTTCCACCTTCCATTTAGAGGAGACAAGCAGGGCAGAGTGAGGCTATGTAAGAAAGAGACTAAGCAGCTGAATATTTACTTTCCATATCACACTGAACACTACCTTTTTGAAGTTTTTCAGTTACAAGATTGAGCCACATTTAAAACAGAAGGTTAAAAGTTTTATCTTGTTTTTTCCTTTTTTAGTAAGTCATGGCAAAAACTTCTGAAGATGATCAAATTAGCTACATATACTTAACATATTATTTTTCTGCATCTCTGAATTGTTGTTTGAAGTTTATACCAGTGCTTTGCATTAAAAGATTAAACTGCACGTTTTTATTGAAAAACATAATCTTGTAGTTTAGTCATATTTGTCACAAATATTATCTGCATATAAAGTGTCAGATTCTCTTTTTCAGAAAAAAAAATTTTCTTGATAGAGCTAGGCTCTCGAGTTTTAACCAATTCTCATCCTTAGCAAGCATTAAATATAGGTTTTGAATCTACAAGGTTTTCATAGAAGCCATATTGCTTGTCTATGTTCATGCACAACTTCTCTTGCTGCTAATTTTTTAGATGCACCTGCTCACTTATACTCATTGAGATCTCAGAGGTTGAGAGTAGATCCTTCTCTAGATGGATACTGCAACTAGATTTCCAAGTATATTGCAACTAGCTTCACAACCATATTGCTTTTCTAAACACTACTCAGGGACCTATCTTCTCATGTATAACACACACGCACGCATAGTCTATTCCTAAATTTGTGTAAATTATTATAAAACATAATTATATTTTAGAGATAAACCCTTTAAACATTAGAGGAAAAAATCATGTAATTTGAAAAAATATATAAAGATTAATTTAGAAAAAAATGGATTTATACTAAAACATTATGAAAGCAATTGTATTGATTGAAAAGTGTGCTTTTCTATAGAATAGATTAGTTTTTGCAATTTTTATCAAGGAAAAATGTAAGGTTGAGCTCTTAAATCCATTTGAAACCCAGTTTTGATAGCTTTCTTGTTTTCTGCTGTGACACATTGCATGCTCACTGTGGGCATTTCCTAACTCATACTTGGCATCACACAATTTTTTAAGGATTATGATTCTTATTAGGAAAAATGTTGCCTAGATGGTCTTTTCAGTGGTCTGAGCTACAAGATATGCATATTTTTAGAGAAAATATGTTATGAGTTCTTAGTAATACTTCTAATTCAAATTAAGGGCCAGAAAGATGTTATTAAACTCATCCATCTTACAATTATATTCTCCCTTTTCTAGTTCTCAATGACACTGACACAATTATTTATTCAGTTTATCCCACAGTGCGTGCACACACAAACACACGTGCGCACACAGAGTAGACTTAAAATAAAACTAACATCGCTACTAGAAAAAACAAACTACAGAGAACAGTTTAATATTTTTTGAAATTCTTTTTCTTGTTAGGGCATATCTATCGTCAAATCCCTGTGTTTTAATGTCATTGTGCATGTATGCCACTAACTTGATATGCGATTTGGTTCATTTGTTTCACTTTGCTTTTAATATTGATGAATAGCTTTTTAAAAATATAATTTCTATGTGTTGAAGGTTCCAAGTCAAATTGACATGCATAGTATATGCAGAGAATTCCAGCTTCTATTTGTTTTCTTTCCTGTTTCTCCATATATACCACACACCTCCCCCAACGCAGGTAACTCTTTATTTTAATGGTTTTTGTCTCATCTATTTCTGAAAAATATGTATTTTAGGACAATTTCAATTTACAAAATATTTAGGAACTGCCTGTCACTCACCCAGAGAGCTCCATTCATGGTGTGTCAGTTACCTGTGACTATCACAATGCTGTCAATCTCGGATCATGCAGTATCTACCGTTATGCCTTGCTCATTTCCCAGGTCCTCAGCTTTACTTGAATCCGATGACCCTGGTATTTTTGAATATACGATCCAGTCCTTTTGTAGAATATCACTCAGTTTATATTTGTCTGGTATTTCCCCATACGTAGCCTCAGGTTATCAATTTTGGGCAACAATAGCATAGACTTTTATGCTGTATTCTCACTGTATCAGGTGGCAAAGAATGTGGATTTAATTAAAAGAGACTGTCAAGTTACTGCAACATAAAATACCTTAGTTTATTTGTTATTTGTCTTCACTGTTACTAATAATTTGTGGGAAGATAGCTTGTGATTATGGAAATATATTCATTATATTATTTTTTAAAATTGAGTATGTTTTATGGAATTCATTTATTTGAATGATTTTATTGAAGATTTTGAAATAATTATTTCTGTAGTGGTTGCCATATAGAGGTTATATAATTCCATCATTCTGCATATATCTTTGACATTCTCTATAAAGATGGGCTTTCCCTACCCCTTTCTTTCTTATTTGCTATTTGTTTCATCTGTATGAACACATGAAATTATACTGTATTCATTAAGTTATAATGCATCTCTGTTCATTTACCAATTTTTAGTATGCTGTTAGATGAAGTTTGGTAAGTTTGTTATGTATTTCAGTGATCTACTTCTTCCGGACTTGGCTGGGAGCCCCTTCGTGCTGGCTTCTATATTGTTTTGATATGTTCCATTACCCTTTGAGCTCTTCCTTAATTTCTGGTACAACAAGATGTTCTGGAGTCATCTAACGCTTTTTCCACCTCAACTTAGATCAGCCATTTCTTCCAGAAGCCCTTGTTCTTTTTAATAGATGGTGAAATTTGGATTCCAAGACATTGGTATTTAGAAATCAAATTGTCCTCATTGATACCAGTGTGTTCAGCATTGATGTATCAGTAGAGAGAGCTAGAAAATCAGTGTGTGTGTGTGTGTGTGTGTGTGTGCATATATATGCATATATATGGAATATATTATATATAAAATATCTATATGTATATATACATTTGCATCTATATTTATTTCTATAAGTATTTTTACACATTTATAACCAGAGGTCACAACAATGTCTATAATTTCTAGCTATTTCACTAGGTTCATTCCAGCCTTTCCTTTTCCATATTCTCTGTCATTGAGAAATCTGGTTTTCATTATTCTCAATATATTCACACATTTGGTCTGCTACTTGTAGGTAGTTGATCTCCCACTTCACCTGCATACCATTAGTGTCTCTTCAATCTAACCGTACCAACTGACACTCTGCTATCTTGGCCATAATTATTACATCCACTATATTAATTCCCTTTGAATGGGCCTGGCACACATTGACTGTCCCATTTATCCTATCTGGTGGCTACTGGTAGAATTATTTTGGAATGAAGGAAAAAATAATACTGAAGAGAAAAAATATTTTAAAGGCCAAGAAGAAAGAAAGAGGAAGAAAATAACATCCACATTTTAAAATGTGGGCAATTAAGTAGAGGTTACCACCTTTTTAAAGGTGAAGAATTGCAATTATTTAGACTCTTATTGATGCCAGCAGCCATTTTAATGGAAAGGTCAATAGCATAAATCTTAAAAATAGAGGGTAATGTCTCAGAAAAAGGGAATCTAGCTTTTTAGAGTATTCATAAACTTGTTTCTTGACTGTGTAAGGATCTCATGAGACATGTATTAGGGATCTTTAGAAAAAACATAAACAATAGGATAAAATGTATTATAAGTAATTGGTGTGCATGATTATGGAGGCTTAGAAGTTCCACAATCTACTGTCTACAAACTGGAGACTCAGGAGAGCCAATGGCATAATTCTAAGGCCTGATTGCTGGAGAGCTGAAGTATAGATTTTAGTCCTAGCCTGAAGGCCTGAGAACTAGAGTTGCAGAGTATGCAAGATCAGCCTCCAAGCTCAGACAGGCAGAGAGTGAATTCAACCTTCCTCTGTCTTTGTTTGTTTGTTTGTTTTATTCAGGTCCTCGAGGGACTAGATGATGTCTGCCACCCTGGGGAGGGCCATCGACTTTACTCAGTCCACCAGTTCAAGCGTTAATTTCTTCTAGAAACACTCTCATAGTCATACCCATGAATAATGCTTAAGCAGATATCTGGGCATCCTGTGCCCAGTCAAGTTGACCCATCCCATAC